TGATAAAGCCTTTATTGTAATCATGGGATTAACACTTGTAGAACCAGGGTTCAAATAAAGGTTCTATATTATCTTGTAGAGTGGAACCCCCTACTGGCGCCTTGCAAGTACTGGGCTTCATGAAACTCCATTCAATAGGAGCCCTTTTTGTGGATTGCATGGGTTCCCAGCATCTATTTCATTATATACCATCTGGGAATTTGGGCTGTTGGAGGAGAATAGGCTGATAATGGCATTTTACCCTCATTCCAAAACCCAGCTTCTTAGCGCATTTCTTGCAGAATTAGAAATGTTATAGCTTGAAATCTCACTTATCTTTACATTTAATTTATCTTCTTTCCAGGTGGGTTAAATATAGACACACCATGGCTATATCTATATGCATTTCACAAACTAACTCAGCCTCAGCCTTCTGCCTATTTATTGACTGTGGAAGTGACAGCCAGGAAAATTGTCTCTATTGAAGATCTTGTAGTGGAGCTATTTTGTAAAGATCAAGGCAATGAAAAAGAAGGGAAAATTCACATTTACACCCCAGCTACCACATATCTGCAGGTTAGTACCCTGATGCTTCCCTTTGTGTACCCTTGCTCAGCATACTGTGTGAAGTAATTTATTTGAGAAACTCTTGCTCTGTGTGTTAATAAGACAGTATCTTGCCATGCCTGTGTTCAGCTGAGCTTGGACAAAATGCTGTTCCTCCTCCACACTGGCTTCTTGCAGGGCCTCCTTGGCTTGCCAGCACAATCAGGGTCTATTTATTGACTTGAATAAATGTTAGGGCCTCAAGCTGTGTCCCTGTCTGGAACGGGAGCTGATCTTTCCCTCTCTGAACCCAATACATGGTGTGAGAGGTCTGCCTAGGTGTCTCCAAATAACTAGCCTTCCTAAGTTCTGAATTTAAGCTGAAAAATCCTTGGAGAAGTAGGCAAATCGGGCCAACACCTAAGAAATGTTTAAAATGTGTTTCCAGTGTTGTGAAACACCTGAGTTGTGTGGCTTTGCTTTTGTTTGATTTTAAGAAATGTGAAGAGCAATAGCCAACCCCCTTAATTAAGAGCCCAGTGACTACAGTATTCAGCTAAACGTGAGGCATCAGATTCTTGCCTGATAGGACACTGAATGGTTCAGTGGTTAGGAGGTAGTCCTAAAAAATGAAAGATTGTCTGTTTCGATTTTCATAGAGTCTTTCATAGCTTATGCCATTAAATATAGATTTTAATCCTCATCGAAGTTGCTGTGCAATAACTGTGTACACTAGATTTTCTGCAGAGGAGCTTATTTTATTTATATATTTATTAGAATCTGCTGCTTATGTGGTATACCTTCAGCTTAGGTTGATCTTGCAGGTGTTCCTTTATTTTGAATTGCAGCTTTTCCTTGTTAGATCAGTACTGGTGCAGGCATAGTGTGAGATTGCTGATAGGTTCTTTCTTTCTCATTCAAGAATGTTTCTCACAAAGTTCTCTCCAAATACTTAATCCCTCCCTCTCCCTCCCTCCCTCTCTCTCCCTCCCTCTCCTGCTCAAATGGCTCAAGATAAATATTTTTTGAGGTTTTTTTTTTTTCAATAATCAAGATGTTGGTGCACTATTTCTAGTAGTTCTTGTAATGATCCTGAGAAAATGCCTTCTCTTCAGCCCTGTACTGTGCTGTTACCAGAGTGGGATTCGGTCTCTCCTATCTCAGGCAGACTAGCATGTTTCTCTTTGTTTTTCAGGCATCCACTTTTAATCATCTTGGGAGGAATGTCCTGCATAGCTATAGTGAAGTGATAACTGTGTGGAATCTGTTTGTGAAGAATGAGATTCTTATGGAGAATAAAGAACGAGACAAATTTTTCTGCTTTAAGATAAAGAGTACAAAACAGGAATTTAATTTGACAGCCAGCTATCAGAATCTACTAGTGGTAAGGAAGAAGTTCAAATGTAATTTTTCTGACCTGGCATTGTGTTTCTTAGGTCTGCCACCTTTCTGAGAAAGGTCATGCTTAGTGTCCAGGCCTGAAAACCTCTAATGATTCTTGTATTTCTGTCTGTCTTGGCAACCTGCAAAGTTAAACTAATTTCATTAAAATAAATAAGTAAACAGCATTGTGCAGTGTTGTTGTGAGCACTTCTCACCTGTTTGGGAAGCCACCTACAGATAGAAATGCAGGGAGGAGAGGGCAGAGAGGTAATATGGAACTGAGAATACACCTGTAGATGTGATTACTCATATTTTGATGCAGACCTAGAAGATTCTGCCATCTTGCAGAATCAACACATATTACTTGCAAGTGTGCGTGTTAACAGGTTGGTGTTATATGTAATTTAAGCCCCTGCATTACTCTCTATCTTTCAGAGTGTTTAAATAATTTCTACTTTGCTTGGTGTCTCTAGCGCATAACTAGATAATCAACAGTTTGTCATCTAAAGAGATACTTTGGTCAGATATTTTGGTCAGTTCTTAGTATGTAAAATAAAGCAAAACAGAGTTGGTTTTTTTAGTCACAGCATTCTATGCTTTGAAAATTCAATTGGTTTTAATGTTCAAATGTCTTGGTATGAGAACTACAGCTAGTTTTTACTGCAGAACTTTATGCTCAAGCTGTACAGTATAGGGCATTTGTCTGTCTGCTCATGAAGTGAGTGGTTTACTACTAATGTCACATTTGATCCTATGTGAGCTGAGATCAGGATTTTGACCTTGAGTAGACAGGAGTTGTGTGAAGTGACAGTCTCACTGTAGCCTGCTAAGCTATGTCATTTCTGAATGTGAATCCAGTAAATCTGATGCAAATGTCCTTTCTTTTCCTGATCCCATGATTTGGGCTGCAGCCTAAAAAGGCAGACTTTTCTGTGAAGGCTGTATGGACAGACCATCAAAGTCTGCCTGTTGTGCTGCAGTTTGAAGGTCAGCTAGAAGAGCTGAAGAAGGAGAAGATGCTCTATCAGAAACGTGGAACTCTCCATTTCAGGTTCAGTAGCTGTTTTTTTTTTTTTTTTTTTTTTTTCGTTGTTGGGGGGGGGTTTTTTTTTTTTTTTTTTTTTTTTAACT